ACGGTCCCAATTGTGCCGTTAACAAAAGGAGCAGAGGCTTTCTCGCCTCGCGGGAGGTGGTCCCCTCCGCCCTGCACCCTGACCTCCTCGAGCCCCGCTCTCCTCCCTCTTCGTCCTCCTCCTTCTCCTCCACCTCCACTCCGGTGATGCATCACTCGTCACCATGGCGCTGAGCTTTGAAATTTGGAGAATTGGAATGGCAGCAGAGGAGAAAGGGGGATAAAGAGTGAGGATAAGGGGGGGAGATGGGAAGAGAGGTGACTAGGAGATATTTTTTTAAAGGGCAAATCAACAAGAACCAGTCGTCCACAGTGGGCGTCACTGTCAGCGATTCATCAGTCACACCATCTCAGCCTTTAACCTCCTGAGACCTGAACTCTTCCACAGCAGCATTTTTAATTTCTCTTTCATATTTGGGCTGATTGGGACCTGATGAACGTAAAAACAAAGAATCACCAGATTTATTATTTTACCTGATTTTTGTTTCTAAGAACAATGACAGCCACATGTGAGGACATTTTTAATTTAGATAAAACAGAGGCAACGGCAATGAAAACCATTGGGCATACTAGGCTGTATTCATAATTAATACATTAATCTTAGATAACTTTCATCTTAATCTGATTCAAAACATGCTGGATAGTGTCCATGCTGCAGAGGTGAAGCTGAGGTCACGGCTGTTTGTCCCGGTTCTTCAAAGGCTGCTACGTTTAAGATTAGAAATATGCAAATATGCACTTTCACTACACCGTCCCAGGAAGCACGATTATTAGAGATGTTGCTCCTGTTCTTCGCCTCAGTTTGATGTGAGATGTGGTTATTTACTGTGAAAGCAAGCAGTCAGCGACACTCACAGAAGCTGTGCCTGCCTCGCTGTTACGGACGCACCGTACCAGCTGAGACGGTCCGACCCCGCTGACTGATCATCATGCTGACTCATAACAAATGTGTTTTGGAGAGTCAACAGAGTTTTTTTTAAGAAGGAGGAGATTTGTTTTTCTGAGCAGGTACACAACAAGACAACAGAATAACAATAGATTTTAGGCCCGATGGTTGTTATGGAGATAACGAAGGTTCGTTTTCTTAGAAAATTCAGAGCAGAAACCATCAGATTTAAAAACATGAGGAATATCCTGCTACCATTATTTTTTTAAATGTGTCAAAGAGGAAAAACAGTGACAGTGTTGCTAAATTTTAAAAGAACATTTTGGGTTCCTTGTGATCTTTTCTTGCATCCGTATGCGGGACAGAGCTGGCTCAGTCCTATTGGACGTGTCACAGATCTCACTGAGCGAGTTTTCAGCGTTACTGCAGCTCTGTTAGAATTACTCACAACTAGGGCTGGGCGATATGGCCTAAAATTCATATCGCAATATAATTTCAAGCATGTGCGGTAACGATATATATCCCGATATATTCTTTTCTTCTGTATAACGTATTTTCCACACTTAAAATCCTTTAATTTTCTCAAAAATCGAGAGTGGGCCTTATGTATGAATTCTGGTTGTGCTTACTGACCTCGAACCGATTTGGGCAGAAATATGTTAAAACTGTTTTAGTACAGCTTTGTAAGCGGCACTGTTTGATGGATGGTCAGAGCATTACGGCTGCCGTAGGGAGGAGCTTCGCGGAGTAATCTGGGTCCAAAACTCCGTCCTATTCAGGGCCCAAAGTCAAACAAACACTGAGAGTTGAAAAACGGTCTAAATTCTTTCATCTTTAATTAAATAATCAGCGTTGCTGCTTTATCAGGTGTAACAATTAAGTTTAACATCCAGGCATCCATGAAAACAGAAGTTATTAAATTTAACGGAGTTAGATGTTAGCAGGAAGTTAGCTCGCTAGTTTCCACCTAAACATTTCATACCATGTTCTGACTGAGAGATTTTTGAAACTAATTCAAACGTACAGCTCTGTTATCACTTCCAACATAAATGAAGACAGAAAACTAAACAGCAGTGACGTTTGTAGGGTTACTGAAGTTGGACTACCTGGTATATAATGATGTGCTACGTGATTGCTAGCGACACAGCTATGTTAGCATAACATTAGCACAGTGAAGCTGGAGGATGAACGCTAACTTTCTTCCACTCGATAAAAGTCATTAATGAATCGATGTTAGGGAAGTGGAGGAAGCGCAGTTTTTGGCTTTCCCCATATTTCAAAAGTGCTTCATCTCTTTGCTATGACTGTCGGCATAATTTGCAGATGATAATGGTTGTAGCCGCTGCGATGCTTTTGACCAAAACAGGCGCAGCTTGATGACATCATCAACATGCGCTATCACGATAGAGCGGTATAGTCAAAATCTCTATCGTTGGCCAAATTTATATCGTTTCTATCGCCCACCCCTACTCACAACAAGGTTGTTTTCAGATAAACGCATTTGATTCTAACTAATAATGTTTTTCCTGAGTCGTAAACTGTGCAGCAGATCAGCCTCTTATATCTGCATCTATCCCCTCATTGGCTGTTTGTTGGCCTTGTTTTGGACTCCCAGAATGCACCATTTTTCGGCGACTGGCAGACACTTCTCCTCTGTGTGTGTTTCTAGAAGGACACATTATTCCACATTTTCAGAGATCAAAAATCCCATAACAAACTGCCATGAATCCACAATGACTGCAGCAGCAGGATGGAAGCTGAGGTTACATTAGCATACCGCCAGCATCCACACAGTTGTGTGTTACACGCTCTATTCTCCTTACATCGCTGACTCTGGGGAGAAAAGCTGCACGACGAGCTTCTGGCCAGTGGTTCACCAGCTGTTTCTGCTGTGGCCATTAACACTAAACCCTGTGGAGAGTGTGAGTGTGTGGGCAGAGCTGTGACCGGCCATATGTACCATCCACTGGCTCAGTCGTGCTCTCAGTGGCTCACATGATGGGTCGACTGTCATAAAGAGGCTAAATGGACACGCGAGGAGTTGCGGGAGGGTTAAAAGGGCAGGAGGGGGGGACAAGGATGGAAGAGCACAAAAATAGAAAAATGAGAAAAATGGCGAGATGATAGGAGGACAGATGAATGTGTTTTTTCTTTAGTAGATCATCCTGGTAGCCTGTATAGGGATTCGGCTTTGGCCCTTGGCGTCTCCCTTTGTAGCGCCGTCCTGTGTGGTACATCGTGTTCTATGGAGCGCAGCAGTAGCCCACGGGAATCAAACGGGAGAGAAAGAGCGAAGATGCAAACTCACTTGTGTTGCATTAGATCATGTTTGAGTGGTTTAGCCGTGTTTACAGGGCATCGCTGATGAAGTAATAGATGTCACAGGACTGCTCGCTGGCAGCGGCACGCAACGCGAGTCACAGGAGGGCCGATTTTCCCTGTCGTGGCGGCCGCTGCATTCAGGATTTTCTGCTGTTATTCCTCCAGAGAATAGCCAGCCTCCCTGTTGTACCTGACTATAGCTGTAACACGATCACCAGGAAGCGCTGCAGCCGATAGTAAAAGTATCTGTAAGAGGTAACCGGCCACGCAGCTTCAGTGCACACGGGGGCCAGAGCTACATGTCAGTGATGATCTGTGAGGACCATTCATGGTTGCATCGCGTTTGAAGCACTTGTTTTCACGCTGGCTCATCATTACACGGTGGAGCTCGTGAAACGTGATGACTCCACCATCGGCTGGATGGTTGAGCTCAGTTACGACGGGCGATGCTCTCAGAGAGCGTATGCTGTGCTGAGCTGCGACTCGACCATAAATCTGTGTCATCGTGCCGTCTATCGCTGAGCCCACGCAGCGCAAAGCCATCAACGCCAGGAAGAGCGATATGAACAAGGCGCTGACAAAAGCTGCACGGACGTGGGTGCTTTGTGCTTTGAGGGGCGAACACCCACTCGAATCCTTTTACAGAAGCACGTCACATGTGTGTGGCAGGCGAGCAGGAGACGGCGCTGTGTTGCAGACATACGGTGGGAACGGTGTTTAAATCTGATTGCAGTTAAGGTGACAAAGTCCTGCGTCATCATTGCTTCTCTGAAAGATTTATCCCCAAACAGCCGGATTTGGACATGTCGCATTTTTATTGCTGTGTTTGCTAATCGGTGACGGACAGAGACGCTGAGCCCACACACAGCTGTTCAGTTTTGTGCCATTTTCTAAAATCTGAAATCT